AAGAAGGGTGTGCGCAAAACATCAGATCATGCACAAACACATCGGATGGCATTTAGAGACAGGCCGTAGGAAATAAGATGCTAGCAAGGCCGCTTTTCTTTATGTTGCCGTCTTCACTATCGTCTAGCTATTTAGAAGACTCTAAGTTCAGACTTTTAGACCTCCTCGGACCCTCTTACTGGACACCGGCGGCCTTCATACGCTCGAAGCAGCCCCTATAAGCGTCGTGAATCTCCGGGACCTCGATGCCGTACTCCTTGAGCTTGGTGGTCAGCTTGGTGGTGTCGAGCTTGCAGTTGCTGCGGCCGGCCTTGATGACCTTGGCCTGCTCCTCGAGGCTGAAGTTCTTCCAGGTGAAGCCCGGGCGGACGATGTCCCGGAACAGAGTCAGGACCTCGTTGTGCGAGATGGCGCCGGGGTTGGTGAAGTTGTACACGCCCGTGTCCTTGTGCTCGGCCATGGCGATGGAGGCGGGAAGCAGATCGTGCAGGATGGTGTTGCTGTTGGGGATGTCGACGACGCGCTCGTACTTGGAGATCTTGGTCACGAAGTTGCGCGAGTGCAGGTCGTCGCTGACGGGCATGCGGAGGCGGAGGATCAGGCAGTTGTTGTAGTACTTCATGACCTGTTTGTTTGCGGGCGTGTTGTTAGCTGTGAAGTTCCCCTCTGCCTTTTTACGTTCAACTAGAAGATACGGAGACACCAACCTCCTCAACGTGGGCCTTGGTCTCCGAGTAGAAGCTGCCGGCAAAGTTGGCCTTGTCGGTCTCGAGGAAGCCCGGGCCGTCCCATGGGTGGGCCTCGTCGTATTGATAGATGCAGCCGGTGGCGAAGACGGTGATGTGGATGCCCTTGAGGAAGCAGGCGTCGGTCAGGTTGATGGTGCCGATGACGTTGGAGCGGACGGTGGCCTCCTTGTTGTCCTCGCACCAGTCAACGTTGGGGCGGCCGGTGCAGCCGGCGCAGTTGAGGACGTGGGTGGGCTTGACGCGCTCCAGCTCGGCGATGACGCTCTCGCGGTTCTCCATGCGGACGGTGGTCGTGTGCACCTCCTTGCCCTGCGACTTGAGGATGGTCGCCAGGTGGCCGGCGACCCAGCCCTCGCCACCCCAGATCAGGAAACGGTTGGCCATTGTGATGAGTTGGGTGTTTGAGAAGGGAGGAGGGTTCGAAATGCGCAGGCAGGCCTTTGGTGATGGGGAGAAGGCCAGTTGCGGATTTCTGTCTAAGAGCAAAGGCCAGCTGGGCTAAGTAAAAGAAATGGGAGAAGGAGGCAGCGGTGTGTAAGAAGATGGAACCACCGCGTACCACCCAATGCCTCCCTCTAGCTCCCGCCCCCCGCTCTCCAATCCCATCCCGCCAGCCAGCTCTCGATCGAGAGTGACACCAGTAATCCAGGCCTGGCGGACCCGCCCAAAGGAGGGGCAGCCGACCTCAGCTGTTCTGTGGGCCCCTGGCGAGGGGCTCATGTTGCGTGTGGCACAGCATTATTGCGGTGTGGCGTCACACGATGTGGTTTGTGCTGCCGTTAAGTTCTTTCTTCATGTCTTTAATCTCAGCCGGCCACGCTCTTCTTTCTCTTGCTTCCAATCACTCTTTTACTATTATTATCTGTTTTTCGCTGTGCTTTCGGGCTTTCGGCCTCTCTCTTAGCTCCATGTTCTATTCCCATGGTGCAGCGGCCCGAAATTGTTGGCTGAGACATGCTTTGAAGACGGGGGCAGCCCGTGATACTATGGTAATCAATCGTGTCGCCCGAAATGTGTGAAGAGGAAGCCATCCGTTGTCCTGAAATAACTACCTACCCCCGGCCTAGCCTCGGGACCAAGCATGTTGGCGGCGCGCAAGAGGTCGCCTCGTCCTTGAGCGTCAGAAGTGCATGCGTTGGCTCAGCAGCGGCGGGCAGAGATGCGATGACGATGGCCGTGGGAGGTTCCTGGAGGAACCCTGCCTCGCCCCGCATGCATGAAAAATTGCAGCATGTGGGTGGCGGGCAGCTACGTAATTTGCCGGGGCTGAGTATGACATCCTGGGCCGACGCCTGGAAGGGAAATGAAGAAAAAGTAAGAGACCATCTCAAGGCTCGACTGCATTCAAGTGACTGTATTCCTTTTTTCGTCTAGATGGTGTATGTCGAGCGCCGTTGAGCCCCTCATATTGTACTCGAGCGCATTCTGGAGTGCACCTCTGGACGTGCGAAATACAACGTGCATAATCCCATAAGCTCCATCCGAAAAGGTCCGCCTGACAACTCCCACCGCCACCCCACCACGAGTAAACAACAACCTGCACACGCAACAGGAATCCTAGCCACCCTACAGCCAGACATCATCAGAGTACCTTACTATTATAGCAGACTGTTAGCCAGCACCACGACGGACGAGGCAGCAGCACCAAGCGGCAAGCGGCAAAATGGTGGTCGATACCAGCTACTACGACCAGCTGGGCGTGAAGCCCACAGCGACGGAGCTGGAGATCAAGAAGGCCTACAGGAAACTGGCCATCGTCCACCATCCCGACAAGAACCCCAATGACCCGACCGCCCACGAGAAGTTTCAGGCGATCGGCGAAGCCTACCAGGTCCTTTCGAACGAAGACTTGCGCAAAGCCTACGATAAATACGGCAAGGACCACGCGAAGCCGTCCGAGGGCTTTGCCGACCCGGCCGAATTTTTTACCAGCATTTTTGGCGGCGATGCCTTTGTCGACTGGATCGGCGAGATCAGCCTTATGAAGGACCTGACCGCCACCATGGACATTACACTATCTGCCGAAGAGGAGGCTGCGGCAGAGGCTGAAGCTGCGGCGGCGGCTGGGGGCGCCGACGCGAAGAAGGACGATACCACAGAGAAGCCGGCTGCAGCTGGTACTGCTTCGGCCCCTGCCGCCGCCCCCACGGCCGACCACTCCACCGGAGCTCCCGCTCCCCCGCCGCCATCGGTCGTCGTCGAGGATGAGAAGCAAGCTCCTGTTGTCGGCAAGCCCGACAAGCCAGAGCCCGCCAGCACCCCAGGTCTAGCCCCTTCTCCCGGCCAGACACGGACATCATCCCCCACCCCCTCGCCATCCGGCCGATCAACCCCCAGCAGGCACGCCATTCCTCTGCGGCCGGCACTGATGGACCGACCATCCGACGACGCATCAGCAGCAGCGAGCGGGGCCGAGGACGACAGAGTGGGCGGGCGCGGCAAAAAGGGCAAGGGAACACTTAGCAAGGAGCAGAGGGAGCAACTGGCGGCGCTCGAAAAGGAGCGGGCGCGGGTGCGGCAGGAGCGCGTCGACACGTTGGCGCGAAAACTCGTGGACCGCATCAGCGTGTGGACCGAGACGGACAAGGACCCCTCCATCACGGCGGCATTCCGCGAGAAGACGCGGCTCGAGGTCGAGAACATGAAGATGGAGTCGTTTGGGCTCGACATCCTGCACGCCATCGGGCAGACGTACGTGGCCAAGGCGACGGCGCTGCTGCGGAGCCAAAAGTTCTTTGGGATCACGGGCTTCTTCTCGCGCGTCAAGGACAAGGGCACGCTGGTCAAGGACACGTGGAACACGATCTCGTCGGCCATCGACGCCCAGCAGACCATGGAGGAGATGGCGCGCATGGAGGAGAAGGGCGGCGAGGAGTGGACGGACGAGCGCAAAATGGAATACGAGCGGCGCGTGACGGGCAAGATCCTGACGGCGGCGTGGCGCGGATCCAAGTTCGAGATCCAGTCGGTGCTGCGCGAGGTCTGCGACTCGGTGCTTAACGATAAGAAGATACCGCTGGGCAAGAGACTGGAGCGGGCCCAGGCGCTGGTTATCATCGGGGAGATTTGCGCCAACGTGAGTTTTCTTGTCCTCTTTTTGCTCGCATGTTGTCCCGCTCGAACCCCAGATGGCTGACAACGATACACGACGACTTTAGGCCACACGCACACCCGAGGAGGAGGGCGACTACATGGCTTTCGAGCAGCTGGTTGCCGAGGCCGCCATTAAGAAGGAGAAGGACTCGAAGAAGAAGGGCAAGAGCGGGAGCCACGATGCGGCGGCTGCGGCTGCGGCCGACGTCCCCAACGTGCCCAAGCATTAACGAGGCTCTTTGTATGGAGGTGCCCTAAATACCATGATTCCCCGCGACCCTGTGGAGGGAGACGGATGGCTGTTGGCGTTGCTGTTTTGTATTTGACCTATCTTGCTGTTGCCTGTCTTTCCTCTTCCACTTCTAGAGATGGATATCTTGTCCCGGTATTCCCTTGTTTTAGCCCTTCACACTGCATGTTTCCGAATATTCCCCTCCCAATACCAATCGCCCCGTTCATAGACGAAATACTTGATAATATCCTAGTTTCAGCGGCAGCGACGTATTTGAACGATTAGAACACTAGGCACCTGGTATATCTAGCAATCAGTCTGAGATATCTACACAAGCCTGGCAGTATCTTGTATCTTCTGCCACCCCACCTGCCGCCGTCCGAGTCTGTCTTTTGCCATCAGTCGTCCTACCGTGTGGGCACAGTCAGAGACACTCGATAGAATCACAGTTCCGCGCATTGCAAACGAGCAGATCAATGTGCAGATGCGTTCCAGGCCAACCAGGCTTCCATCTTTCCCCTCGGCTTAATTCGGCCCAATATTGCCTTCTTTGATTCGTACGACGCCAGCCCGTCGCCGAGATTATTTCACCGAAAGCGCCGGTTCCTTCTCACCAGCTCTCACGCAAACAATCGGCCAAACAAACGCCCGATCCAGCAGACTCGTCAGCGCCCGCGACCGAACGGCGATCGCGACCAAGCAACCCCACCACGGATCCCAACCCAACGCTGCATTCAGCACCTGCGCAAATCAAAAAGTTTACATGTGTGCATGCCATATGGGCTGGCACGAGGTCGAGTCAGTCGCTTGCTTGTGCCCACCAGCACCCCCGAAAAAAAAGGGTTGTCTCGGTCGGGACCATCCCTCGCCGCAGCCAGCGCTTATGAGACTTGGCAACGCACCACAGCCATCAATCAAGCGCAACATCCGATATGGTGTAGGGGTTAGCATACCACGTTTTCACCGTGGCGACTCGGGTTCGATTCCCGGTATCGGAGATTCAGCAGATCGGCGAAATTACAAGCCTTTCTCTTTTGCTGTCCTTCCCAAGCTTTTAACTCAATAACCAGACTCTTATTAAATAATTAATTTTTAACCACTTTTTCTTTGTAAAATTTTCTTCATACTCGGCTTTGTAAAATATTTACTGAAACGTTTCAAGTGATAAATTAAATATATTTCCCGTTTTAAATAATAATAAATTAATAATTAAACAAATGTATTTTTACACCTGTGTTTAAATACTTGTGCGGATTAACAGCATGCGCGATGCACCACGCTAATTCCCCAGAGGGCCGACTCAGCGCGGGTGCTTTCAACCCGCGCAAGTAGCGCTCCGTTGTTTACTTTTCCCAATCTCACACCAGTCCATTATAACCAAACGCGCAGCCGGGATTTGTTGCAAGCCGTTTGGATTTGTAAATCCCGACATGATAATTGTTACTATGTACCAAGTCGCAGTTTTGTTCCTGTCAGGTACACGGCCATTTACCTTGTATCTAACGAAGCCGAGACCCGTGTGTGACGCAAGTCCCGAGTCCCGCAGTCTTTAACCGTCCCACCCAGCCCCGACCCCGCCACACACATCGAATCGTTATATCTCTCGCCCCCAACACCCCACCAGGCAGTATCAAACCTTCCTGCACCCCGCCGCCTGATATTCCTCCACCCGCTGCCGCCTCCCAACAAAGAGTTATCCAAGGGATCGTGGCGCAGTTGGCTAGCGCGTAGGTCTCATATCGGAGGTGAATTCCAACGTATGACCTGAAAACGGGCAATCCTAAGGTCGTGAGTTCGAGCCTCACCGATCCCAGTCTTTTGCCGGGACAAACCCAATGCTATACTTTTGCTGCTTTTACAACCTCTCTCTTCCTTCCTCTCCCCTCGGCGTCCGCTCCTTTAGAATTGGGATGGCGGAGCGGAACCTGCTTAGCGCCGAGGATAAATGGCTTGTCGTTTGCCGCGAGTTGATTCACCCACAGGCGACGTTGGCGAAGTGATATTGATTTTTCTTTTGTATTAACATGTTTGCCCAACCAATTGAAGTCGATGCCAGACCTGCTTATTTCCTTGTCGGGCTCCCTCGCGAACAGGGTCCCTTTATTCCAACACAGCACGCACTGGGCCTAGCAAAATATCTCCTCACTCAGCTCGGATACGCTCGACCACTATCAACCCTCACTCCTAATGTCTAGCAACCAGGGGACCCAAAGCCAGCGTTCAGCTTCATGACGGACGATAAGAAGACCGCCGCCACCCTGGGCCGGAGGCAACCGGTGCAGTACCGCCCGAGCGCTAATGGTCGACCGGACCATCGCTGAGGCATTGGCAGGAACCTGCAGGGCGGGAGAATAGACTATACACAATCCAGATCAAACAAGGCTGTTCTTCCGCTCCCCGACCTCGCGTCGTTTGTATCCTGGGGTTTCAAGTATCCCGTGATCTTGGAATCTTCCGGCCTACGGGTGCGCACGCCGCTCAACGCTTGATGGCTATCGCTGCCGCCGCTGCCACCCGGGCTAGGACACCACAGCGACCAACAACGCTGTCACGATAACCACAACGGTTCGTAGCAAGAACCAACTGGGTATTTAGATGGACGAATTGCCCCGGACTTCTACGCGAAAGTGACTCCCTACCCTGACAGCATTCAGTGTGGTGCGAAAAGTGACGATTTTAATGCAGCACGGTTGTGATTCCTCCTGGCATTGAAGCTGCAGCCAATCGGTTCACACGATTTTTGCGCTGGTGTGCTGCTGCACTACGACGCGAGAAATGCACGTCCATCTGTCTGCCTTTTATTTGTCCGCTGTAAAGCACAGCCACCCAAATCCCAGGCTTTCTTCTGCCATCCCTGACCCCCGAGCAAGGCTAGCCCGGCCTGATGCTGGGTTTATGCCCTGCCCGTCCATTTCGTTTAGCCTCTGTCCTTCTTTTCAGCTTCCTTCTGCTCATTCATCCTCACCACACGTTTGCCCACCGAAGCGCTGCGCACGCGTCCGTCTCGCTCGCGACCTTTTATGTTTCCATCCGAACTTTCCCACCAGTCTCGTGTGCAGGACATTTGTCCAACCATTGCGCCTCGTCTGATCTTCCCCACTACCGAACAGCGAGCACTATTGCGCTTGGTTGTTTGGAGGAACGGTTAGCAAAGGTGCGGGGTGAAGCCCACACAGGACCGGACAACTGGTCATCACCACTTCCCCTTTAGAGAGAGCACGGAAGCGAACATAAAATGGCGCACGCGCCGCCCGTCTCGCGCGATGGCTTCTCATTCGCGGCCGACTGCTTCTCCGTCACGACCAGCGGTGGCAACGTGCACCGGCGGCGCAGCCCCGCCGAGCTCAAGGACCACTTCGCCTCCAAGGACGACCAGCCCGCACACTTTTACGAGGCCCAGTTGCTGCACTATGGCCTGGCGCCCTCCAAGGTCAAGGGCACTGCCAAGCTGCGCCTGATGGAGGCCGTGATGGCAACCGGCGCAAAGGCCCTGGCGGTTCCGGCGCCCCTCGCCGCGCTCGAGAAGGAGATGAAGAAGGAGTGGGCAAAGGCGTGCAAGGCGGCGGCTGCTGCTGTGAAGGCCGCCGCCGCTACTGCTGCCCCGCCTGCTGCTGCCGCCGGGTCCAAGAAGCGCAAGGCTGCGGCCGAGTCGGCCACCGACGTCCAGGTTGTCGCGAGTGGGGGCGGCAGCGTCAGTGTGTCTGTGACAGTCAACCACGGCACCGCGCCGAAGCGGGCCAAGACGGAGCCGAAGGGGTCTGCGAAGAAGGAAGCTGCCAAGAAGGAAACTGCCAAGAAAGAGCCAGCCAAGAAAGCGCCAGCCAAGAAAGAGACAGCCAAGAAGGAAACTGTCAGAAAGGAGCCTGCAAAGAAGGAAGCTGTTAGGAAAGAGCCCGCGAAAAAGGAGCCTGCCAAGAAGGAGCCAAAGAAGAAGGAACCCCTCAAGAAAGAGCCTGTCAAAAAGGAACCGGCCAAGAAAGAACCTGCTAAAAAGGCACCGGCCAAGAAGGAGGCTCCCAAGAAGGACCCCGCCAAGAAGCCGCGGGTCAAAAAAGAGTCTTCCACAGCTCCACCTCGGCCGCCAGCGGGGGACCGGCGGGCCATAAGGTCGAACCCGCCAGTCTCGCGCTACCCCGACGATCCGGACGGCTACGACCATGACAGCGACAACGACAGCCGCCGCGGCAACGACTACTACTCGGACGGCTACGACGAAGACGGCGACGGCGACGGCTACGGCTACGACAGCGACAACGACAGCCGCCGCGGCAACGACTACTACTCTGACGGCTACGACGAAGACGGCGACGGCTACGGCTACGACCATCACCGCGGAAACGACTATTCCGACAACGACGACGACGGCGATGACGACGAGCCGCCCC